TACGTTATAAGGTATGCATTTACTGATACAAAGCACATTCAAGCAAAAAAAAGAGACATTTCAAACATCAGATAAAGTTGTCTATGGAGCAGTTGCTCCATACAGTACCATACAGTACCCAGTTGGGTACAGCCCAATGTGCGCCGCTGACGTAAAGCAGGAATGTTATCTCGGCCGCACAATGGCATGTCATTACGGTAATAAACGTTTAGTTCGCGCGAAAGGGGTTATGAGTTGCCATACTCAAATAATATGCTCCACGCATATTTCGAATGGCACTAGTGTCAGTGTGTACAACACATAAATCTGAAACAAATATGAGTGTAAAATATTCAAAATTGTTAATACTTTTTTATATTTCTGTGCTAGGTTTGGGTGAGATATCGGACAATAGAATCTCTAGGTCTCATTCGCAGGATTAGGAAGAGACTAGACCGATATCTATAACAACGCAGTACTCCAACCACTGTCAACTGCGTTGAAATTACACGAATATTCTATTCATCCGGTGCGTGACAAAACAAAATATTCACAATTGTTCACCGAGCATTGGATAAATAATGAATGATTTCATTAAATCGTACCTGGTCATAACCGGCCGTGAAATACCGCTAGCGGTGGCTTACAACACGATCGCTGGATGCACAAAGTTCCGAGAAAAGCGCAGAGTCGGCGAATTCCAACCACCGAGACGATGAAGATAGAATTTAGAGTTTCGTCGCGATTAAATTTAAAGTTATGTGGTATTTGGTAAAGTATTTAAGCTGATATTTAACAATGACGTTGAGATAAGCCGAGTAGAAATTATGTTTGTTTCATTTTTAATATAAAGACAAAAGAGGTTCAGAAGTCAGCGAAAATCGAACATTTTAAAAGAGACAAAATAGTGAAATAATCTCGAAATGTAAATGATATGTATGTTTGTAAGTACCATAGATAACGTTTTACAATAAAAGTATTGTAGAGGAAAATAAACATCTCTTTTTATTTCGCACTGTTATAAATATTTTATCTGTTGGATAAACCGAACCAGCGGATTACGATTTACGTGCCAATTTCTTCGAATGTTTTGACCAAAGCGGCTTAGCACAGATAAAAAAATATTTCCCATTTTTCTTTATATTTTCAATTTTTCGACAATACAGTGGTTTTATTATTATTTTAAGTGTGTTTTCATTGCTAACACTCGAACAAAAGCGTTTATTCATTCTTTATTTAAAAAATAACTTGCATAATAATGAGACTAGTAGGTAGATGGTTGAGGCGCAAAGTTAAATGTACCCGCGTTAAGAAAGCTTATGTCGGGATTAGACTTTTCAGCTGCTCGTGACGTGAGCGGTGAGCGCGAACACCGCGCAGATCTGACGGACTTTGTTACGATCTATTCAAACTTCACTTACCAGCATTCATGTGAATATCATTCCTTTACCCTTTAAATTATTCGGTTAACAATTCTTTGTAGTACCTATTTACGTGTCGTAACAATTTAAATCATAAGTTATTTTAAAGCGAAATGTTTTACTTATATTGCATATGTTTATAAGAAATAAAACTGGCCATTAATAAAAAAGTGCGGCTGCTGCGTAATGTGTAAAAAAGTAAAATAAAATTCAAACGTGTTTTAGGGAGTTTGCTTCTCAATATCCATTACACTAGAAAGATCTGTAAACAATATTTTCATATTGTTTTTCATATTATACTTGTTCTATTTTCCTATGTAATTGTGTGATTAAATTAGCTGTTGTGCATACTTATATAAATAAATAAATAAATAAATAATGATCTCTATTACTCTTATTTTTAACATCGTTTTTTATTGTCCGGGTCACACTTGGCCAGTGCAGTTGAACATGGACCTGCCACACTCTTCCAGTTAATTGACGTTCCAGAGCGCTACTAACCAACCGTACTGGTCATGTGTAAACCACGCATATACGTAAGTAATTTAAATGTTACTAGTGTAAAATTGGCCCTGTGTTGGAATATTCCATTTCCAAAATGGCGGCAGATGTCGTCCGCGGAGGTATAATTTGCACACAATTGCACTAATAGAATACGTAACTGCATACATTGTCGACAAGGAGCGCTCTCGTCACGACGACCTACATTTTATAGAATTGAATTCAAATTCATAGGCAATGAAATCGATTCAAAAGAAAAGCGATTTATTTTATAGT